CTAGGGTCCCTCATCTCAGTGGTTAACATTTGAGAAATAAGTATTATTCTATTATGATAATAAAATGAGATTATGAAATCTAAACACAGCTTCTCTTTGCTTATGGACTGACTGCACTGTTCACACGAGATGCCCTTGTTTCACATTCTATGTGATATTAACAAAACTTTAGTGCTTGGCGTTATTTCTGGGAGTAATAAATGTAAGATCCCTAATTGGGCTGCCTCTCACAGGCAGTAATTGCTAAGGAAGAAACTGCTTTGCTGTAACTTTCTAGTAAGATGTGAGCAGTGACTAAATATATCTTGTAAGACAGAAAAGTCCTGGGAGATCATTTTGCCAAAAAAGGTAATTTTGTATTCTTTTCAACTGAACATATTTAATAGTGTTTCAGATTTCTTAAGAAACTAGTGTGCAGTTAACACTGACTACAAGGTCAGTTTCTCATCCTGGTTCTTTCTAAAATATGGTGCGACCTGAACAAATGAGTGTGTAGCTATCCCTTTGTGTCCTCGGGCAGCTGGTTCTGTGTCACACAGATGTCAAACTCTGGCTACTGACGTTCCCTATGTATTCATAGAATGACAGCAGTGTTTGCACATAACATGTGTACGCCTTCCCATGTACTAAGTCATCCCCAGGTGACTTGTGACGTCCATGCAGTGTAGGTGCTATGTGAGTGGATGTGGCATGAGCTAAGACAAGGGAGAAGTCGGTGCATGTTCACAACAAACTCAGTTCCTTTATTATTATTGCTAAATAAAGCAATCTGTCACTCCACAGTTGACTTTAGCACACTTGGAGAATAGAGCAGATGCCCATCTCCCTCCAGAAGTACACACTTACTTCTCAGAGTTTACAGTACTCCTGGGAAGTCTTACAGCAGATGGGAACTTTTGGGGAATGAAGCTGTAGCAGATACACAGTCCTGGGCTGCTAAAGAAAGGAACAGAACAGAATTCTTGCAAGGAGCCAGAGCCAAGAAAGCATTGTTGTCGCTGTTTCCTTATTTTGGTCCACACAAATGCATAGAAGTTTTCAAAGTTTGGGTTAGTGTAGTGGAAATTCAGTTACTTTTCAGTCCTCTTTTTACCCCCTAGTCACTTCTGCAAACCTGTTTTCTCCTGAAAATGTACTGTGACATAATGTTGCTTTCCACACTGATGTGAGCTAGAGGGGTGGGGCTTGCCTGTGCTAAGCAGCACTACACTGAGCGCCACTCCCATTCCTAGCTGGGACCTCAGCTTTATTTATTCCTTCAGAACACTTCCCTGAGTTGTTTCTGGTGGTTCCCAGAGAGAAATAGACACTCTTCTGCCTCCCTCACCAAGTTCATTGAGAAATCTTGGCCAACACCCCTGGGCCTTTGCATGAAAAGAAACTAGGGAAAATGAAATACTCTGCTTAATGAGGTATTATAAATTGCTCAGGTTTGCCAACTACCCTTGTCCCCCATACTACTAATCTAGCCTGGAGCTCAATAAATATTTGTGTAATACAGGCATGGACTAGAAGATTTCAGCACAGCCCTACCAATCCCCATAAGAAGGTACACATTTTCTTTTAAGCACCCCCTGCCCAGCTGGATATACAGAAAGAAACACATGCTGGTCTAAAACAGACCCTGAACACTGCCACCTCCAGTGGAATGTAAAGGATGGGGAATGATTCCAGATGTTGATAAGAGCATCTTCAGAGATAAGTCCTGAGGCTCTGACTCAAACATATAGGTGGACAAATGTGTATGTAAATAAGTATGAGGAGAGAGGTCAGTCTCTAAAGAGCCACCAAATGGTCTTACCTCTGTGAGAGTCTCAGGAACAGAATAAAAACTTGCTGCAGTAATGGATGCCTAGGAGGTAGGAGCTGTAGATCATGTTGGGTGTTATGGGGTAGCCATGGAAGAGAAGAAGCAGGTCGTGGGGTACTATGTTCATTACCCAGGGAGAGGAGAGCATTTGCCAGGGACAAAGTCAGCCTTCCTGTGCCAAGCTGCAGTTGATGGATATACGGCTCCTGGAGTCCACCCACATTGGAAAGTGACTGAGTACAACTCCTTTAGTGCCTGTTCCACAGCTTACATCAACCTTGCAATTGCTATCACTCCTCGGTCTTCTCAAGGGAACAACTGCTCAGACAACTTATTTTTCTACGATAAGTAGCAATCATTGGTTTTGTTACTGTTGTATTTGGGTTTTTGAGAAAGATTCTCACTGAGTAGCCTGGGCTAGCTTGGAAATTTGTGTCTTCCTTCCTCAGCCTTTCAGGTGCTGGCATTACTGGTGGACACTACCTCACCTAGTTTTGTGCCATGCTGGGGATCAAACCTAGGGCCTATTGGATGGTAGGCAAGCACTGTAACAACTGTAACATCCTCAGCCCTGAGATTTCTTCGTTCTTGTTTTCTGTATTAGATTAACTTGTTTCTGCTCCTGGGGTGTCATGGAATCTGATGTTAACTTTAACCAGAGTTGCAGTCACTGCCAAGTTACTTAGCTCCCTATTCCTAGGTTTCCTCACCTGAAAACTGGAGCTATTAATAGTGTCTACCTACTTCCATGTGACGAAACAGTGAGTTTATTTATGGAAAGTGCTGAACACTGCTTAGCAGTTAAACATTTACTAAGTAGTGGTAGTCATTAGCTCCATCCATCAGAGTTTGTCATGATTGTATTCCAAACCATCCTACCTAATTAGAATTTGTCATGAAGAAAGCTGTAAGGCTAGAATGTGGCTTCGCGTAGAGTATTTGTCTAGTATTCATGAAGCCCTAAGTTCCTTCCCCAGGTCCATGAAAAATCAAAGAGAAAGGAAGAGAGTGAAAGTGGGAGTTAGGGTTCATTGACAACAAACTTGTTTGTAAACTACAAGAAAGTCCAGGGATCTACAGGGGAGGTGAGTAGGCTGAAGGTGAGCAGAGAGGCTCAAAACACTCTGTCTTCTCACTCTCGGTACATCTATAGATGACATTTCTAGAAAAGCTTCCTTGGAGGAAGAGCTTTGCTCGGGATGGGAGGTGGTGAGTGCTAAGCTTACCGATTAGGATAATGTCCCAGCCCCTCAGCCACATTCCCAGTCAATAAAGCTTTCTCAGACACGCTGACTGGACCCACTGCACAGTGGGACAGCCAAATAGTGTTCTCTGCTTTTGGGTAGCTAATGTCATAACAGATGTGGACCAGGCATATGTCCTATGCTATGGCAACCTTACAGAATTCAGCTACACCACAGTAGGGGTCCTGGGAGGACTGGATGGGGAAGGGGACCTCAGTAGATGCAGGCATGAGGAGGCACTTCTCTTCCATCTCTGGTGGGTGACACAAATCTTGAGACGTTTCCATTCTTCAGTCTGGTTTAACTGTCAGAGGAACAAAACCTTTTCTATAGAGGAGGGTATAGTAAGCCAATTTCGAGGTGAGGAGGGTTCTGTCCAGTCTGTGCTTGGAAGGAGGAGTGTGGATTGAAGAAAGGAATTAGACAAAAGACAAGAGAGAGTCAGGAGGTCATCCAGTGAATACTGAACCACCCATGTTTATTTTTCAAAGTCTTTTTATACCCCCATCAAAAGAGGGAGAGAAGGCAAAAGACTTCCTTACCAAGAAACAAAGAGCAAACAAGCATAATTACCTTCTCAATACCCAAAATACCAAGTAACTATATCCTGATTTAAGTATTGTTTTCAGGCAGGACATGTAGCAACCACACCTTAGGCCAGGTATCCTGTTGCATTTATTTGCCAGACATCCTTGCAAGAGCAAGGACAAGCAAAACTTCTCTGACCTTAAATCAAAATGAAATGGAGTCGATTCCATGGGTTCCCAGAGGGTACTCTATGTGTCCTGTCACAAAGAACAATGATGTAAGTAAGAGCTGTGTTCTGGATAAGCAGTGGTGGCACATGCCTTTAATCCGAGCACTCCGGAGGCAGAGACGGGCAGATCTCTGAGTTTGAGGCCAGCCTGGAACTACAGAGGGAGTTCTAGGATAGGCTCCAAAGCTACACAGAGAAACCCTGTCTGGAAATTCCCCTACCCCGAAAAAAAGAGCTGTGTTCTGGGGAAATGCCCTTGGCACAGGCACACTTTAACTAATTGACAAGCTATTACCTAAGTGATGTAGGACTCTGGATTAAAATAATCTCTAAACAGAATTTGTTCACATTATCAGTGTCTTCTGCTAGCTCATTAGGGCAGTGGGCCTTCTGCCATCTTGTTATTGCTGCGTGGGAGGAATGTTTGTAAAGGAAAGTTACAGCACACGTTGCTGCCATGGAAAGCCTACATTTATTTTTAAAGAGCCTAATAGGCTTGATGTATGCCAGTGTGTGGGTCTCCGCACCTCACCATTTGCTCCTGCGTAATCTAAAATGGCAGCGCACCTGTCAGAATTCAATGTGAGCGAGGCTCCTTGGATATTTATAAAACACTAGAAAGACAAAACCGTACCAGCAAAAGATGGGTCTTTTTATTGCTCAGAAACAGGAGACTTTGCCAGCAGCGTTCCTATAAACTGAGCTACCAGGGAGTGGAGTTTGGTCAGGAAGGAGGCATCTGCACTCCTGCAGAGATGGCTGGCAAACGCCAAGTCGCAGGCCCAGGAATGGATTCAGGTTCCTTGAGAAAGCAGAGGTTCCCTGCAAGCATAAAGAGAGCTGGGGGTAGGGGAGAAGGAGGAGTTTGTCTTGCTACTTTGCAGCATTTTAGCGCAGCGCGCAAACACTCACTCCTTCCTAGCTGGAGCCTGGATATTTTTTTACATTCAGGTCTGGACACACCCGTCTTCTTTGGTAGCTATGCCCGTGGGCGCTGGTTTCATGTTTTGCTGCTTTAGAAAGTAAACGATCTCATGCGAAAAACGCTGCTGGGTAAATTCCAGCACTGGAGCCTAGATGGGCGTGGCCTGGCGCTGTCCATCACTCGGGCACCGCCCTCAGGCACCGCCCTCCCATAGGCCCAGTCCTTCTCCAGAGGGCCCCACCCGGCGCCGAGTTTGACGTCACTGTCTGCGCCGCTCGCCGTAGATACAGGAAGTGGGACCAAAACAAAGGATCGCTGGCTGGGAGCGGACCTCCTTGAGCCGGTGTCCCTGCTGCTTGCCGGGCCCACTCCGCCGAAGCCGCACGACCCTGTCCAACATGGAGAAACACTTGTTCAACCTGAAGTTCGCGGCCAAAGATCTGAACAGGAATGCCAAAAAATGCGACAAGGAGGAAAAGGCCGAAAAGGCCAAAATTAAAAAGGCCATTCAGAAGGGCAACATGGAAGTTGCAAGGATACACGCCGAAAATGCCATCCGCCAGAAGAACCAAGCGGTGAATTTCTTGAGAATGAGTGCGCGGGTGGATGCGGTGGCTGCCAGAGTCCAGACCGCGGTGACGATGGGCAAAGTGACCAAGTCCATGGCCGGTGTGGTTAAGTCGATGGATGCGACATTGAAAACCATGAATCTGGAGAAGATCTCTGCTTTGATGGACAAGTTCGAGCACCAGTTTGAGACCCTGGACGTCCAGACGCAGCAAATGGAAGACACGATGAGCAGTACGACGACCCTGACCACTCCCCAGAGCCAAGTGGATATGCTACTCCAGGAAATGGCAGACGAGGCGGGCCTCGACCTCAACATGGAGCTGCCGCAGGGCCAGACCGGTTCAGTGGGAACGAGCGTGGCTTCGGCTGAGCAGGATGAACTGTCCCAGAGACTGGCCCGCCTTCGGGATCAAGTCTGACTGCAGAACCAGCCCGAGGTTTCCTTTCGACGCGCTCTCTGTTTTAGAGAGGTGCCCTAGAATTGTGCCAGAATACCGAACAGTCGTCTTTCTAAAAACCTTTGAGTTTACAGCCTACTCCAGATAGGATAAGAAATTCCAGTTTTCCTCCACTTCTAACTGGATTTTAAAGTTCTTTTTTGCTTATGATGAGGTGTATTTTTTACAGCTGTTTTTTAACAGAACTGGTTAATTTGCTCTCTATGAATCTAGAAAAATTGGCAGAACTCTAGCCCTCATGTATTCCGTTTTCACTAAGAATTCCAGGTTGAAGTTTATTTTTAGTGTTGTTGATGATACATAGAGTGACAAGTGATGCAAAACATTAAATGAGGAGGAATGGGTACTTAGTTTATTTACAACTCTGTGAACACTGTGTTTGATTTATTCGGTGGAAAATACTCTTTCTGTACATCATTTGGTTTTCTTTGCTTTTGCTATCAAAGAAAGACTATAATTGATAATTTATTCTCATAACCTATACTAAAGTTACCTTAGAAGATTTTTGCAAAATATGCATTTTACATTCTGTAATGTAATAATGTAGTTTGGGTAACTGGGAGAAAATGCCACATAATTTGTTATCAGAAAAAATTAAATTTGTTCATTTATATTCTATTAAGAATTCTTAAGACTTAACATTTGATAATTTCTATTTTTTCTAATGAAAGTCAACCCTTTATAGACTTCTAATCAAAATAATGTTCATCAACATGGCAGTCCTGTTACATGCCTAGCATTGCCAAAGAACTGCTGATTTGGTCCTGGTAAATCCTGGGACTGTGTAATTATAGGTTTTGTTTTTATTTAATAACCAAAAATACAAATAAAATTAGAACAATATTTTTAAGTTCTAATTATTTGTATGTATGTTGTCTTAAAGCAACAACTCTTTTAAAACCTCAAAAAAATAAGTTAGTGCTATAGATCTGCCAAGTTTAAATGTACATTTAATCAGCTAGAAGTCTAGGACAAGGAAATGAGTTGGGATTAGAAGGAAAGAGACAGGCCAGAAACCTCCACCACCAGCCACCTTCCTTTTATTCTCTGGTATAAAACAAAGCAATTCCCACTTTCTTCTGGCCTCCAAACACGGAGAATAACTTGTGTTTGCTTGTCATATATATTAACCTAAGTTAAATACTTACAAAGTTTGTTTTATTTAATTTCCCCTTTTCCTGGTTTTTTTTTTCATTAAGAGAATTCTAGTGTTTCAGACAAGATGGAACCTCTGCAAAACTCTTTGAAAAATCCATTATTATAGTGTGGTTTCCATGTGAATGAGTGTTTAATGAAAAAAGTGCAAGCATATACAGATGAGTATTGACACTCTTGAGTTATCGAGTGTGTGTGTGTGTGTGTGTGTGTGTGTGTGTGTGTGTTTTTACAAGTCTGCTCTAAGGGACATGTTACTTGTCAGGTGTCCTTTAAAAGGACCCTTAGCAGATGACATGTCTTCTCATATACACAATTGTACTGTGTCAGGTGTGTATGAATACAACCTATGTCTTAATCCTTTAGACTGGAAAACATCGATTAATTACATTTAAGAAACAAGTGTATCTGGGCGTTGGTGGCACACACCTTTAACCCCAGCAATTGGGAGGCAGAGGCAGGCCGATCTCTGTGAGTTCCAGGACAGGCTCCAAAGCAATACAGAGAAACCCTGTCTCGGGGAAGAAAAAAAAATTAGCTTAGTATTGACTCCTTGGTAAATTGAAGACCCTTTTATACTGAAGATATTTCCATCAAAATATATTTTGTGAAATTGAACAATACTCTATATGCTTAAACTTTCTTAAAATATGTTCATTTCATACTACATAAATGTACATTTTTATGAATCATAAACATTATTTTCAAAAACACTACAGGCCCATGAATTATTTCCTCACTTTTAGAACTGGTGTAGTTTTAATTTTTAAGTCATGAAAACTGGATGAATATATTTTAAATGGCATATTATTACATTCCAGCATGGATCTCAGCATAGAGTGTATGCTTAGCGTCCATGAGACCCTGGACTAGATCCCTAGTACCACAAAAAGGGGGGACGGTAGGACAGGGCAGGAGAACTCAGAAGTAGATTTGGTTCAAAGATAATTGAACCTCAAAGTTGGCCTCAGTCCTGAATTCTTATCATGGTAACTTGGCATTTTCTTGAATATTGCTGGGAACCTTGATATTCTTACTCTGAATGAATGTTTTTTTTCATGGATACAATTTTTTTCTGAGCTGGATTTTAGAATGGGGGGAAAACAGACTGATGTGCAAACTCCTCTAGTAGTTTATTTTAGTGCCCCAGATGTGTGTAATCAGAGAACATTCTAACCAGAACTGTTCTTCCTACTGCTTTTGATTTGGGGGTTGAGGGAGGAACATGTGTAAGTACCAGCCTGGTCTGGTGACTTTATTAACCTTAATAGTCTGTAAGTACTCACTGTGAAGGATTTCTCTGCAATGCATACAACATCCTCCAGGGGGGTATATGCTGTCAAAACATAGCTCAAAACTACCAGCAAAACCTTCAACGAAGGGTACATTAAGCAAACTGGTGATGGACCTATTCCTTTCTTTTCTTTCTCTCTTCCACTACCTGGTCTAGTAAGCTATCTGCTCAGTTTCTCCAAGTTTGTTTTCTACAATTACATTGTCAGGCCAATAGGGAGCAGAATCAGACAAGATTTGGTCATGCAGTAGGCTCCTGGGAGTGTCTGAGAGATTCATGCAGTGACTACAGGCAGACAGTTTACACCAGTATAGTGAGCACAAACCAGAACCCTGGTATTCCCTTACCACGTGGATATTTTTATTCATCAGTATCTTTATCTTGTAGGTAAGTATCATGATTCGGAGGCATATTTCTTCCCTCAACAGTTATAGTGTGCTTTTTCTTTAACACAAAGAAATTATTTAGGGCTGGAGAGATGGCTTAGTGGTTAAGAGCACTGACTGACTGTTCTTCCAGAGGTCCTGAGTTCAATTCCCAGCAACCACATGGTGGCTCACAACCACCTTGAATAAGATTGGGTGCCCTCTGCTGGCCTGCAGGCAGAAGACTGTATACATAACAAATAAATCTTTAAAAAAAAAAAAAAAAGGAAGAAAGAAATTATTTAAAACGTGGATTAATGGAAGGTAGTTGGTGCTTTTCCTCAGGTTCAGCAGTCTAATTACATAGGATACCCAATAACCTGTCCATGACTATCCTTGTCCCAGCTTGTCCCCACTTCTTGATCATCTTCATGGCTACCAACTTTTGAGTTATTCTAGTGAAAACACTCCTGCCAGCACTCATGCCTTCAGCTGTAGCTGGAAAATAGTAAATCCAGATGGTAGGGCAGGGAGGCATTGTTTGTTTTATGTGCTGGGATTTAAACCCAGAGCCTCATACATACTACATGAGCATCTACCACTGAGCATATCCCCAGTCTCCCCCCACACATACACTTCTTACTTTGAGACATAATCTCACTAAGTTTCCAATCTGGCCTTGAACCCATTTTGTAGTTCAGGCAAGCCTTGATCTTGGAATTCCTCTGACACAGCCTCCCTAGTAACAAATTACAAACATATACACTAGGCCCATTCCTCCTTAGTATTCACAGCACAAGTGTTTTTGGGGTTTTGTTTGTTTGTTTTGTTTGTTTGCTTGTTTTTCAGTTGGAATTTTCTGTGGTTTTGCAGCTCTGTGTGGTGTTCTGAACTACAAAGGGACATTTGCAGGGGAAATTCTTAGATGGCCCAGTGTTCTCTGCTTCACATGAAACATCCCACTTAGGGACAATGTTACAACTCTTAAGAAAGCTTTCTAAACATTTTTCTGTAGGTACAAGCCCCAGCTTGAAGAGGTACTTCTGCAGGTTGCTTGGAACTCAACCAAGGGTCAGAGCTGGATGGAATTTTGGAAAGCACCTTGGAGAGGAAAGTGGGGGAAGACTGAGGCACCTTTGTCTCTTCATTGACATCTCAGGCTCACAACTTAGCTAGGCTTCAGGAAGCTTCCCCCTACTTCCCTCCCACCACTTCCTCTGGAAGGCAGTGTTTAATTACATCCCCTAAGATAGGTACTTTTTGTCAACCATATTTCACTCTTTCTACTTGTAGTAATTATCATCCAAGTATATTCACCCACATGCTCCACCCTGTGTGCACTGTTTTAAATTGGTCGCTTTCTAAGTTAACTGACTCTAGCAATCAGCTTTATGTTCAATTTTTAGCTCCTTCCAGCCCTTCCTGTCATGGATGTCTCTCAGTTGATGGAAGAGGGCATGTGTGTCCCTTCCATAGATGTCTCCTAAGGACTGGGCACTGCACTCAGTGCTGAGGATCCCAGAGTCTCTAAGACAAAGACCTGTGTTCTGGGTCCTACACTTTGACAGAAAAGATACAATGTCAGTGTTTGGCAAGTGCCCCTGGGACCTGGACAGGCAGGCCTTGTGACAATGGGAGCTATCTGAAACAGGGTCTTACTTCTGAGAACAGGAAGAAGAGGTGGCCTACTACGTAGGAACAGGAAAGACTTGAAAGATGACACCATGTTGACTCACCTGCCACACCCTACACAGGTCTGGCCATCCTGCCCATGAACTGAGGCTGAGAGCTGCTGCTGGCCTGTGCTGATGAAATCTGCGGATACTCCCTCACCTGCACGCACTCACACTCATCCTTCCATGACCCCACACCACTGTTCACACTGACATCCTCTCACGCACACAATCTTATTCTCACAGACACATGCAAACACAGATACAACATACAGTCATCCTGGTGCACACTCAGACTTTCATACACACATTTTTGCTCTTATTAGGAACGTTGTTGCTTTCTGTTTTCTATTAACACCTCAACTTCCTTTCCTTCCAGCTTGGCCATGGAGAAGAGTTTCACTCCCCCTCTCAGTTTCAGAGCAGCCACTTCTGCCAATCTTCCAGGACTGGAAAAGAGAGGAGGAGGAAGGAAAGCAGAGGTGAAAGAACAGAATATCAAAGTCAAACAGAATACAGGCCTTGGCCTCCCCTTGAGACAGATACACAGCAGCACCTAGACCTGTCCTCACTGTTCCTCCTGTGTAAATGCCCCCCATTGATGTAGCCAAGGCCCGTGGATAAAGGCCTAGAGAACCAGTCTGACCTTGTACTGGCTTTCCTTGCAGCTTCCTGGAGAGGATTGACAGTGTCAGTCTGGTTGATTACACACCCACAGACCAGGTATGTGAAAGTAAAGTCATTAGAAGCTTCCGAGATAGTCTTCCAAGAGCGTTCCACGGTGATTTAGAAGAGTCAGGGAAAACATGCTCGTAATCACTGTTTCTTCCACCTTGCCATGCTGCCCCTTGTGTTGGTCCTGCCACCAAGTTCTTCGCTCCCCAATCTCTTGCTGTGACGCCAATCAAATCCTCCTCAGTAAGGAAGGAGATCCCATGCAGAATGGGAGTGTGATTCCCAGGCTTCCTAGGACCATAAGTAAGAAAACCAAGCCTTCACTTCCCTGTGTAGTATTCTGGGACCCTTCTGCTTTGGACTCCATGCTTCAACCCCAGGTACCATGGTGCATCTCCAGGTGTGTCCCAAGTACGTCCCTTGGATTGAGCCAGAGAAAAAGAAGAAATGAATGGAGAGGAAGAGAGAAAAAATGAGCTAGTGAATTCCAACTGATATAGGAGGGTATTCACACAAACTAGCCCTCCTAACTTACCCCCAGCATTCGCAACCCCTGGAGGCCTGGGACTTGAATGACATGGAGGCTCTCTCTCCTCTGTATCCCCTAGAGATCAAAGCTTCTCTTTCTTTCTGAGGTCTCTGTCTCTAGAGCTGACTCAAAGAACTTAAAGCGATACTATTGTATGAGGCTCGTGGAGTTTCTGGGAAGAAAGAAACATTTTCTGTACCCCAGTAAATAACCCTTCACCCATGTTCCTGTAAGCAACCCTGATTAAACTCAGTAAATCACCAAAACTAAAAGAAAAAAGAAACTAGAAGGGACTAATTGGAAGGAGGAAGTGGCATCAGAAGAAGGGAAAAAAAAGAGCAATAGGAAAAAAGGAGCATGCTCAAAATAAATTCTATACATGTACAAAAATATACTACACAATTAACATGTGCTAATAAAAATATATCTTACCAGTGTAACCTGGACTCTCTAACATTAAGAGAGTGCAAAGGTGACCTACAGACATGGCTCAGCATTTAAGAGCACTGGGGGCTCTTCTAGAGGACCCAGGTTTAAATCCCAGCACCCACATGGCTGCTCATAACTGCCTGTAACTCCAGTTTAGGGGATCTGACACCTCACAAATACATGCAGGCAAAGCACAAATATATATGAAATAAAAATAAATAATTTTAAATAAATAAAAAATAAAACGGAAACATCAATCATCTCCCAAAGTAGCCCAATACAGGGAGATGTCAGCTTTTCCATGTCTTTGGGAATATATTAATCTTTGGTCTTGGAGAGAGCAGAACTATGCAAGGAAGTGACAACAAACCTACTAAAGTGAAGTAGCTTCCAGCCCTGAGATCCCTGACTTATAAATGAGAATTAAGCTTCCTATAAACCCGAACACTGTGCAGTGATTTTTGAGTGTCATATAACAGCAAGACATGGGCTGAATCACTTCTTAAAAATCTTGAGAGGCATGCAAACCCAGTCACTGTGTGAAGGGCCAAACTGATTTAACTGTGGGGGGGGGGGGTTTCTACATCTGCATTTTAATTACCCCTTTCTTTTATGATAGACCCTGTCATTTCTCAGTCACCACATTTATATCAGGGCACACCTTACTTCTCTCTCTTTGCCTCAGGACCTCCTCAGATGCAGAGTGCTGACATCAGGAATTTTTGAGACACGATTCCAAGTGGACAAAGTGAACTTTCAGTGAGTACATTGCTAAGAGTGTGTCCTGTGACAGGGATAGTGGTGGGAAGCCCAGCCTGGTGCCAGCCTCTGACCAGAATGGGAGCCATGAGGTTTTGGGACTAAATGGATTGGAATTGGGATTCAGGGCAGGCTGTGTGTGGCTGGACTCCAGTGGGGGTACTGAGAAGCTCACCCACGGGGAGGCACAGCTCCAGGAAAGGGGAGCACTGAGTGGGAGTGGTGAGAAGAGAGGTCAGGGTCCACCTGATGAGCTACAGAGAAACTTAGAAGACTGGGGGGGGGTGCACTTGAGCTAAACAAGTAGAGAGCCTCAGGGAAGGCTGTATCATCTCCTGCCAGGCACTCAACAGACACACATGGTAACTGGTGGGCTGTGGATGTAGCTGGATCAGAAGGAAACCCCACACTTTCCTGGGGGAGACAGTCTTCTGAAGCTGGGACACGTTATCATAAGGATCTGCCCCCACACAGACTAAGCATGCACTTGGTACAAGATGTGGTATGAAGCTGGGCGTTAGTGGCAAATGCCTTTAATCCCAGCACTCAGGAAGCAGAGGCAGGCAGATCTCTGTGAGTTGAAGGCCAGCCTGGTCTACAGAGCAAGTTCTAGGACAGTCTCCAAAAAAACAATACAGAGAAACCGTGTCTTGGGGGGAAAAAAAAGATGTGGTATGAACTAGAAACCACTGCATCTATTAGGCACCCACTGTATGTCCCTAGTCGCCATAGCATCCTTACTCTTAACTCCTATAAACACAGTGTAAAGTAAAAGAGGAAGAACTGACGCTGGGAGAGGCTGCATGACTTGTAGTTCAAGATTAAGGGCTAAGACACATAAACTGAAGCTGACCATTCTGACAATAAAGGAGAAGGGTAAAAACATGTGCCCTTTACCCCAGTTTCCCTGAATAACCAGAGTGCCTCTGTTTCTCTTCCATAGTATGTTTGACGTTGGTGGCCAGAGGGATGAGAGAAGAAAATGGATCCAGTGCTTTAATGGTGATTTGCATGCTCCGCAGAGGGCTGGATGCTGGCTCCCACCATGGTGTCTAGCTGTGTTTTAATCAAACTATATGCAAAGTATAACATAATATATATAACATGTAAAGTAAATAACCATATTCCTTCCTTAAACAAAAATCTCATAGAGAATTTAAGGTCCCACATCTCCAGTTACCTTTTGGTTAGACCCCTGGTCAAGTGCAGCAATGCCCAGCTGTGCATGTGGCTGATGTTCAAGTCATTCTAGATACAATCCCCAAATGACAGTGCCCAGGACCTTAGCAGTCGTAATCTCAGAAAAACTGACATTGTCCATCTAAAGTGTTTCCCTTTCCCTCTTTGCCCAACATAGATGTCACCGCCATCATTTATGTGGCAGCCTGCAGTAGCTACAACATGGTGATCCGGGAGGATAACAACACCAACAGACTGAGAGAGTCACTGGACCTGTTTGAGAGCATCTGGAATAACAGGTGAAAAGGAAATTCAGGCTCACCACTGGATCTCAGATCCTTTATTAAAAATACATCCAGAAGACTTCACCTGTTTTTGTTGTTGCTATTTCTGTTGTTAAAAGTGACCCCTTTAGCCAAGCGTGTCAGCACACATCTATACTCCCAGTGTTAGGAAGGCCAAACCAAGAGGATCAGAGTTCAAGGCCAGCCTGGGCTACATAGCTAGGCCTCATAAACAAAAAAATGTAAGGATGAGGAAATGGTTCATTGGGTGAAGTGCATGCCGTGCAAGCATGAGGACTTGAATTTGGATCTCCAGCACCCACAAAAAAAAAAAAAAAATACAACTGAACATCACTGTGAGCACCTGTAACCTAAAAACAAAGAGGAAGTGGAGACAAGCAGATCCATGGGGTTCGATGGCCAACCAGCCTAGCCAAAATGGCAAACTCCAGTTTCACACACACACACACACACACACACACACACACACACCTTCAATAAGACGGTCATCCTTCCAGTAGACAATATGGGAACTATTCTTTGATGGAGCTCTTCTAGGTGCTTGATTAGGACTATTTAAATCTGCTATAAAAGTCTCTGGTTATATCTGGAATTCAAAATTAGTTTTGTTGGTTTATTTTGATCAGGCATCTCCCTACATTAAGGCTGGCCTTAAACTGTCAATCCTCTAGCCCCAACCTCCTGAGTTACTGGGATTACAGGCATATGCCAATGTACCTGGTTGGTTGGTTGGTTGGTTGGTTGGTAGGTTGGTTGGTTTTAGAATGTTCACTGATAATTAGATGGCTTCTGTGATCCCTACAGCTCAAAGCCATACATAGCAAGCCATTTGATACTCCCAGAAACCCAAGGGGGCACAAGTGATTACGTCAGAAAGGAATTGTTCAACATACACTCCACTGTAGACTCATGCGGTTCAAAACCAGGTTCTCATAAGTTATTAAGGAAAAAAATCACTAAGGAATATAGAAAATAAAAGTTGATCTTAAAAATTATTTGTATGAGTCTGGAGAGATGGCTATGTGGTTAAAAGTACTAGATGCTCTTCCAAAGGACCCTGGAAGATTCCTAGCGCTCACATGGCTACCAGAAACTATAATTCTGGTCGTCGTAACTCCAATCCCATGGGATCTGACATCATTCACTGGCCTCAGCTGGCCCCAGGCATGCACAATGCACCAATAATACATGCAGACAAAACATTAATTCACATTAAATATTATTTTAAAATTTAAGGTTTGTATTGTTAAGTATCTTTCTGTCAAGTGTTCAAGTACCGTGCTCCTTTATGGTTCCAGTGTTAATGGGAAAGACTGCCACACATTCAACACTAGAAGACCCTCTCAAAGAAACAGGGGTGGATCAGGCACAAGGGATATAGCTTAACCGTGGTACAGCACTTGCCTGTGCACAGAGCCCTGGGTCTGATCCCCGATACTGAAAAAAATTATAATCTTGTCTTTATAAATATGCATGAAAGTAAAAAGTTGAGGCATAAAATCGTAGAACTAATAGTAATTATCATTTGATATAATGTATTTGATCATATGTATATCCAAGCTTGTTTGTATAGTATACAAAAATTACATAAGCAGAAGAAAAACAAAACTAATGCATCTGAGGGGAAAATGGGTTGCATTTACATTTGTGGTCAGAGTCCTATGGATTGATCCCTGGGACCCTGGAGGGCTTTGTTGTTTATTTGGCATCTAAGTTCCTTTTGGCTAGACTTCAGCTTTTCTTACCTCACCACCTCTGTTCCTGGGCCTTGGCCCTTAGCTTCTCATATAGCATTATGGGGAATTTAGTTCTGCCCCCCCCCACCCTTGTGCTAAGAGGAGGTGAAACAAAAGAAGACTGACTGCTAATTAAGCTCCTTGTGATTGACCATCCAGCCATTTGGTCCTTTAGCAACATTTTAACTTCTCCCGTTAGACCCCAAAGTTACATCACAAAAGTCCAAGTGTATTCATTACATGCCTAGCTCTCTGCTTTGTTACTGGTAAATGTATGTCCCCACAGAGGTTTATCAAGAAAAGAGTGACCTGATACGTTGGGGGGTAGTGGGGGACTTTGTCATTGCTGGTACAGAGAGTACAAATAATGGTTTATCAAATGATAGTGATTCGGCTTCCAGAAGATGCCACTGTTGGCCCACTCCCCCTCCACTTTTTTGTCTGTCTTGCAGAGCTAAGGGTGGGGGTGAAATCAGGTCCTCAGAGTGGGCAAGCACCTGCCACCAAGCTATCGTCTGAGCTTCCCTTTTAGCATCATTGTGACCGGTACTTTCACATGCTAGTATTGTGAAGCTGGTGTGGATTTTTTTTTTTTTTTTTTTTTTTTTTTTTTTTTTTTTTCGGGGGGGGGGAGACCATTTCTATCATCTTGTTCTTGAACAAACAAGATATGCTGGCAGAGAAGGTCTTGGCAGGGAAATCAAAAATCGAAGATTACTTCCCAGAGTATGCCAATTATACTGTCCCTGAAGATGGTAAGTTTTCAAAACTGTCTCACTTACAATTGAAGGATCCCACTGTCCTTTTCTCATAGTCCTGATCAGTAAATCAGAGATGTCTGGGGAATCTAAGGAATTGCCTCTGATTATTCCATCCTCTCTATGCTCCCCCGCCAAAGTACTAGGGTACAAGGTGAGTGACCCTGCGCAAAATGCTTAGGACCACAAGTGTCAGGGAGCTTAGAATGTTTTGGATTTTGAAATGTTTGCTTATCTGAGAGGTGTGACCCATATTTCTTTAAAAGCAAGACTCATTGAATGTTGGAATGTGTTTGTATGCACCTCAAATACGTAGCCTGAGGGTTTTGACTGACCTGCAACATGAAGCCAGCTGTGGAAGTTTCTATCTATGGTATGACGTCAGTATGGGAAGGTTAGCAGATGTGGGATATTTGAGATTTTATGTGTTCAGAATAGGAGTGTTTAGTCAGTATTTAAATGTCCTACTTGGGATTTTGCTTGTTAATGGTTCAGAGTTTGATTTTCTGTTGACGAGAGGTCACATAAGGAAGGGCTGTGTGTGTGAGTGACTATGTCATACTAGGTAAGTTCTCTCATACCACCAGCTGGATCTTTTGTGACACAGGCACATCATTCAAACCCCATACGGTAACCACAGGTGGTGGCTTCTGTTTTATTTTGTTTTGTTTCAATAGAACACTAGTTCTCAATCTATGGGTTATGACCCTTTGGGTTGCAGATCAGATACTTATATCACAATTCATAACAGTAGCAAAATTGCAGTTATGAAGTAGTAATGAAATAATCCTATGGTTGGGGGTCACCACAACATGAAGAACTGTATTAGGGTCACAGCATTAGGAAGGTTGAGAAGCACTGCCATAGAACAAGAGGTGCTCCAGGCCACATAGGTAGAGCTGTGAATGTAAGAAGACTTCCATCACCTGATATCCAAGCCTGTTCTGTCAACCACGCCTGTGGCTTATGGGGTCCTTGGTGGCAACACTTGTAGACCCCACGGGGTGACCAGCTACACCAGCCTCCAGAAATGGAGGGTCCAGTGCTAAGGTGAGGAAGCTAAACCAGAGCTTGTCATCCATGTCCCACTTGTGCTTAGTTGTTGATGTGTGTTGAGCCACTGGGCGTTTCTAGGAGTGATTTGCTAAAGGGAAAGTAACAGCACTTCTAAAAAATATGAGCCCACACCCCACAGTGTTGGTGCATGCCTTTAATCCCAGCACTCAGGAGGCAGAAGCAGGTGGATCTCTGTGCATTCGAGGCCAGCCTGGTCTACAAAGTGAGTGCCAGGACAGGCTCCAGGGATACAGAGAAACCCTGTCTCAAAAAAAAAAAAAAAAAAAGGAAGCCCACCAGCCAGATAAAGCCAAACAAAAGGGGTGTGTTTCTAGAATCTAGAGTTGGGACTGCATTTCTTACCACTATCGAGGACAGGGAAACCTCAGACTTCTTTGCTCTTTGTGTTCCATTTTGTCTCCCCCACCCGACATAGGTAGGGCTGTGAATCCCAAAGCCCTGGCTTTAGTGCAGTCCTAGGAAAATCACAAGTGCCATGGGACCATTCCTTGTGAGAATCAGCAGATGCTGGGAATGGGCTGGGGGTACAGCCCCTGTTCTGTCGGACAGGCCCTCTGTTGTAACCTCAAGCCGCCTGTATGACCAGAGCATGTGCTGTTAAATTAGTAAAAAACAATGGCTGCTGCCACTTTGTTTTATCTGGCTGGTGGGTTAGTTGAGAGGTTTGTTCTTGTTTTGTCTTTTTTGAGACAGCACCTTACCATACAGCTCTGGCTGTCCTGGAATTAACTATGTAGACCAGTCAGTCTATCCTTGAACTCACAGACACAAGCGTGCACACACACCCCTGCCCGCCTGCCCCTGCCTCCCCATTGCTGAAATTACAGAAGTGTACCACCACACTCAGCTACAGGCTCTTTTACAGTCAGGGCATATTCAGATCTCGCCTCACCATCTGGCTAGTTGCTGTCCCATGCTGAGCTAGGGCTCTTGGAAAAGCTATCCAAGCATGGTTTCAGTTGCTGTGGCTGGCTTCTCCATCTTCCCAAGTTGTCTTGTCCCTCTCCTCAGATACCACCTGTCTCTCACTGCCCCCTAGTCCAGCCAACAGCTGAGCTCTCCCTGTGGAGCCTTCTCCAAGCATCACCTCCCCAGGTATGGGCTCCACCTCTCTCCCTTCCCTTCAGCGACTCACAGTTTCCAGCTTAGCCTCGTGGCGATACATGCATGTGTGAGTGCATACATTGGTGCATGGTTTACTTGCCTTTCCTGAGCACTTGAGTTTTAGGCACAGCCATCTTTCTAAAGCACAGACACACCCTTCTGCCCTGTCAAAGACTACCAGCCCCAGTGGCACCTACTTTGCACAAGGAAGTGGAGCTTCCCAGCAAAGAAACACCGAAGGGATTCATTGTGACAGCTGAAGGGACCTTGGTTCCAGCCACAGTGCTGGGCCCAATGACTGAAACTCATCTGGTACCATGTGTCCAGTCTGTCTGTGAGTCCCAAGGCACCCATCCCTCCCTGGTATGGGTAGTGACTGCTGGTAGCCTGGACTCACCATCTAGCCTCAACTCTGAAGAAGCCAACAAGAAAAGCAAGAATGTGTACATCTGTACAGCAGGGGTGAAAGGCACAGTAATTACACAGAATGAAAGAACTTCAGGCTGTGTAAAGTATAGGAAATGCAGAGACCATGCCAGAATCCTACTTGCTTGATTGGGAATGGGAAGAAAGGGCTGCAGACAGAAGCGAGGGTACTTCCAAAGGTATTGGATATATGGTTATTTTGATCACTCATTATTTTGTAATAGTGATAGTTTGATAAGCCAATACATGTTGAACTGTATCAAAGTGTACATTTGAAATGTGTACAGTCTAGGATCTGTAAGTTATCCCTCCATAAAACCAGTGCACAGTTCCCAGCAGTTGAATGTCCCGAGCATCTCTAGAGGAGGAGATGTCACTAGACCCTGAGGGTCCAGGACATACTTGGGCTGGTGGTCAGAGGGTCTGCTGCAGTGGACTTCCAGGGCCCCCAACCTGAGTCTGTGCAGTGGCTAGAAGAGAGTCCTCTTACAAGACTGACTTAAAAGGTGGAGTATATCCCAAACAGCATAGCCTTCCTCTACCATATCTTGGAAGAGGAAGTGGAAGACGGAAAGGGCTCAGCTTGTCACAATTCAGTTAGATGCCTTCTTGAGCAGGTATTACTTGCCCTAACCTGTTTGTTTAGGTTGCTATAACAAAATCCCTTAGGCAGGGTGAGTGATAAACAACAAACTGTTCTGGAGGCTGAGAAATCCAGAAGCAAGGCACAGGACATTTGAGTCTGGTGAGGCCAACTCTCCCTTCATTGAGTTCTGTGTCCTCATCCGGTGGAAGACACCAACAAGCTCTTTGGGGTCTCTTGCATATGAGTGCTGTATCCCACTCATCATAGAGGAGCCCCTTATAATGGAGCCATCCCCACTTGCTGACATTTTGATGAGGAAGACAAGATGAGAACATATATGGCATGCAGACCAGAGGATTATGGGCATTTTCTCAGAGCTCTATCAGAATTACAAAGCTTTGGGAGAAGGAAAGGAACATTACCTTTAATTTTTGCCCTGTCATACATGTATGTTAATGCCATAAACATACACAGCCCTGTGTGTGTGGTTGGTTCCTTCTGTGTTGCAATACTTCTGTATCTTTGCTTCCTGCCAGCTAAATGAAATTTCATTTTTAATTTCAACAGCAACACCAGATGCGGGAGAAGACCCCAAAGTTACGAGAGCCAAGTTCTTTATCCGAGATCTGTTTTTGGTAAGCGATTCTCCTGCCCTTTTGTTTCCTTCCTTAACCTTACAGGTACCTTTTTCTCTCTCTCTCTCAGAAGTTTGCTAATTATCCCTTCATAATCTCCGTTTCCCAAAATCGTGAGCCCGTGAGCAGGAAGAGAGGAATCAGCCTCTTGTGCCTCAGCACACTGACTTTAGTGAGGTTAGGTCTCTCACCCAGTCAATTCTATAGAGCTTCTAGCACACCTGGAAGGGAGGAGCAGGTGACAGGGCCACACTCCATCCACCTGTGTCTTCCAAACAGAAGCAAGTCCTGCAGGGTCTAACGTGCACACATTCAAAACCTTGGTGTCTGCTGCCTCCACCCAAAAGCACAAGCAGGCTGGCGTGAAAATGAACTTGCCCAAATTCTGCCCCCTCCTTCTCTCAATTTGATCCCTCTCTCAACTTGCCACATTTGCTATGTACTTTTTTATTTGTTTGCTTTATTTTCCAGGACCTTATTTATATTAGGCAAGCATTATACCAAGAGCTGAATCCCAGTCCTTGATTTTTTTTTTTTTTTTTTGGGACGAAGTATGTTTAGTTCAGGCTGGCCACTAACTTGCATTCCTCCTACCTCTGCTTCTGGGATTATAGGTGCATGTCAGCTTTTGTTGTCATTGTTTTGGAACAACCTACTGTGTATAGCTGGCTATGAGCTTTTTACTAGTTTAAAACTGAGAAATGCCAAGACATTCCCAAGGTATGTTCCTATTAAGTCTCCATGTGCCGTACAGATACTGACAGCTGCCCACTTCTGGACAGATGTTAATCTTGGCTCAGTCAGTGCAGAGATGGGCCACTACCTTCCCATTTACCTTTCCTGTGTCCCCTTAGCACCGTGCAACTAGAATGGGTCCCCTCTCAAGAACACTATGGTAAGTTAGAAAGTAACTATGAAGGTACCAGGTTCCCTGTCAGGATGTGGCTCAATGACACAGCACTAAACACAGCATGCATGGAGCTCTGTGCTTCAATCAAGTCCCTAGAGAGGAGCAAAAGTCTCCCAAGAGGTGAAGGACAGCATGGGAAAGCTCCTACAGCTGAATTGGAGCCCTGCCAAGTTCAACAGTGAGCCATTTTCTCTGTGGTTGGACTCTCAGGGCCTTTGCCCATTTACAGCCTCATGCCTGCTATACAAAGACTACCATTGAGATACATGCCAATTCTGTTTTCAAATTGCCCCATCTCACCTTGAACTTGAGGACAGTAGTTCTAAGCCACCATACATAGCTTAGAAATCATTTCAGTAAAGGAATGTATGTATTTCATAGTAAGTCAACATGTTTCTCTCTCTCTCTCTCTCTCTCTCTCTCTCTCTCTCTCACACACACACACACACACACACACACATCCCAATCACAGTTTCCCCTCCCTCCACTCCTCCATCCTTTCTATTCAGAAAAGAGCAGGCCTCCCAGGGATATCAATCAAACATGGCAATGCAAGATATAATAAGTCTAGGCACAAACCCTCATACGAAGGCTGAGCAACGCAACGCAGTAGTAGGAAAAGGGTCCCAAGAGCAGACAAAAGAGTCAGAGATACCTCCTCACACCCCCACTGTTAGGAGTCCCACACGAACACCAAGCTACACATCCAATAACATGTGTGCAGAGAACCTAGCTCAGACCCATTCAGGCTCCCTGATTGTCACTTCAATCTCTGTGAGCCCCTTTGAGCCCTGCTTAGTTAATTCTGTGGACCATGTTCTGTGATGGTCTCTACCCCTCTGGCTCCTATAGTCCTCCCTCCCCTTCCTCTGCAGGCTTCCCCTTGTGGCTGCAGACCTCTGCATCTGCTCCCATCAATTGTTGGACGATGTCTCTCTGATAACTATTAGGCTAGACACCAGAATCATTGACACCATACCCATCTGGGAGATCTGTTAGGCCATTAAAATAGAACCACATTTTTAAATCCATAAAATGCATTTTAGCAGCAACTAAAAGTTAACTAACCATGCCAATGTTGGGGTGACAGGAACATAATACCATGTCCAGGTTTGTGGGATGCTGGTAAAAGTCCTCATTGCACAGTAGGGAAACTCTGTGTCAACTGAGCTACACCTCTGTCTTAACACTCAGAATCATGGCAGTCTTGACAGACGCAGTCGAAAGTTTTCATACCTCTCCCCAAACCTCAGGAGCAGGCCACGGTCACACAGAACTATCCAGATCTTTCCATGTAGCTCTATCTGGCCCGGAACTGGCTACATAGTCCAGGCTGTCCTCATACCAGGCATGGCTACCATACCTGGCTTTCCCAGTTCAAATGATGAATTCATTTCTTTTCTTTTATGAAAATAAGTGGATGAATCAGGTTCAATGAGAGATGTAGGATGTTTGAAGTTTGAAAATTCAATCAAATGATGACTTGCTCCCTAAGTGTACGTTGCTCCAAACAGGGGCAAACCAATCAATTACAAAAGAAAACCTGTTTCTGTCCATTCTGTACATATTTGTTCTTGCCAATACCCCACCTGGTACTTCAGGGCCAAAAGACATTCATTTCAGTGTCCTTAAGCACAAAAAAAGAAAAACTAGGCCAGGACCATAGCTCAGTGGTAGAATACTTTGCCTGCCTTGCAATGACTAAGGCTCTGGGTTCCATCATCAGCAACAAACACACTCAGCAGGGAAGCTAGCATCCATTCTGAGCCCTCTGAGGCATTTCATAACCAGATGAACACTTCCCCAAGACCCTTGCTGTAGTCCTAACAGCTCCCTGAAAGCTGTGTCCCAGGATCCTTTGTAGATAAAGGATGTTTGACAGGAAACCCTGGGATCCTTCCCATGGCCACATGTAGCTAGAAAGTTGTATATGATTCTGCTGGGGCTTTGGGGGCTGCCAAGGTGACATCATCCCACAGCCTAGAGGCCTAGCCAATAGAAATGATTCCTCACAGCTCTGGATGCTGATGTTTTAAGTGAGGTGCCAACAGAGGACCTAATCCTGAGGCTGTTCTTCTTGGCTCATGGATGGCAACCCCACTTTGTGTCTCCATGATCAGCATCTACATGTCTGTGCCCTGACCTCCTCCCCTTACAGGGACACCAGCTATGTTGGACTCAAGCTCAAGCTAAAGACTTTAAACACATTTGTCTCTTTAAAGATCTTGTCACCAAATGCAGGTACATCCTGAGATGCAGGCCCTGGAGAGTTCAGATCCAACATAGAAGTTTCTAGATACAATTCAGCTCTGCCTTTCTCTAGTCTGTCCAAGGAAGCTTCACAGATAGACGATGCTCTTAATCTTGTGCTTCCCACAGTTGACAGCAAAGATCTCCAAGACACACACACGCACACACACACACACACACACACAGCAACATTCCACTGTCAGCCAAGGTTACCTGTGGAGAATGCAGAAGTATAACTGAAATACAGCCCCATCACATGTGGATACTTAAATTAGTTGTGTCAGGTGGCACAGGAGTTGCATGGTGAGGAAGAAGGATAGCTATAGCTCTAGAGTTCAAGGCCGGTGTAGGCAATATAGCAAGAACCTTCCACAAAATACAAAAATTAAAACTGAGTTAGAAATCAGTTTCTACTCCCTTCCCCAATGCCATGCACTAGTTACACTAGCTTCCACATATACAGGCAGAATATATTTCTGCTAGCAGAGTTCTGCCCACCAGGGCAACACAGACAAATGCTGGAAATTTCCATTCCAAAGCCTGTACTATGTCTCAACTCAGATTCGGTGCCCATGGCTGAGGCCAGCTTAACTCTCTCCCGGGACAGGCTGGGTACCTAGACCGTTTGTGAAAGTCAGTCAGCTGAAGTCCTTTCTAGTCCCTATAGAGTGTCCCCTGCACTGGGCCTTGTCATCCTGACCATAATGTTCTTTTTACAGAGGATCAGCACAGCCACAGGCGATGGCAAACATTACTGCTACCCCCACTTCACCTGCGCCGTGGACACAGAGAACATCCGCAGAGTGTTCAACGACTGTCGTGACATCATCCAGAGGATGCACCTCAAGCAGTACGAACTCTTGTGAGGGCCGCCTCTCCTCCCTCTTGGTACCCTACGAGGCAGTGTATCTCCCTAGCCTGCGTGTCTGTCCACCCCGAGCCATGGTAGGGCGTAGTGAGTGTTTAGTGGCACCAGGCTGCCATCTGTCCTGTCCTAGGTATGCCTACATATGACCACCAAGCCTCTGGCTACCTCTGTCCCCCAGGGTTTGGTTTCTGTAGCTTTTGTTTTTCACTGGATTAAACATCCCCCACTACCAATTTGTATCACGGCAAAGCCACCAACTCTCATGTGGGTGATACTGCAGTGAAGTGTCTCTGAGTGGGAACCTGTTTATTTTTTTGATTGAACAGGTCATGGGCTGACTTGTCAAAGACAAGCATGGTAAATAAGGGAAATACATTGTTTCAAGTTATCAAGCATGATCACAAAACTGTGGACAGTGCCATGCACTGCCGCTCTTTCTGGTTTTCCCTTTATGAAACATCAGGCTAAAGCGGGTAGCTGCCTGTTCTTGATCTGCATTGACCCAAGGCTTAGAGTAGACCCAAGCCAGCAACAGAGAAAGAGGAACTCTTTTCGGCCACAGTTGCAGTGGCTGTAAGCCTCAGGCATTTTGAGTGCTTCTTAGAGCCTTTTACATTTAGGCAGAAAACCTATCATATTCACTACTGCAAATTGTGTCCTGTCTATACACAAGGTGTCCCGACACCTCTGTGACAGCTGGACATGGTCTTTCCTAGCTTCTTTTTGTTGTTGCTTTACTAGACTGTACAGGCCACAAAATGTAATACTCTTTTATATGACTACTAACAAAACCTCCTTGTAGAGTTCTGTGCCTTGGCGATGGCCACCCCTGTAAGGGGTTATGTCCCAGTGTGCCAGGCAGCTTGCAGTCCACCCAGCCTGCTGGGTACTTCACAGTGGGGAGTCGGTGGAATTTGTTCATCTTAGGATATTTTTATCAGGTTGGTATTTATTTAAGATCATTGATTTCCCAAATCATCCACTTTACCAGCCATGCCATCCCCACACTGGAACTGTCACAGTCACCTGCTTTTACTGTTCTGAACCTCAGCTGCTGCAAACGCTGGGACAACCAAGGCATAAATTACAATCCACTCTTTTTCTTTCGGGTACCAAGAGTTTTCTTTTCCCCACTCCAAGATGAAATGTTTCTGATGACTCCTTCAGGTTCCCTGGACAGGAGCAGACCTACCATCCCATAGTTAAGTTCTACACACAGTCCCTACACACCTGAGGAAAGCAAGGTAGTGTCAATGTTGTAAAGGAATGAGGACAATAAGGACTGAATCATCGGAAAATAAAATCCCACAAAGCTACTTATTATCTTATTTATCTGCATTGCTAGGGATGAGCCCAGCACCACTACATGCTAGGCAAGCACTCTACCGTTAATCCTTATCCACAGCCATAATCCCAGCCTCACAAAAAATATATGGCTGTTCCTCACATGTGCAAGATCTGCAATGCAACCCCCGAGTTACAGTAGAACACCTAGAAAATAACACTTGCTGCATCAGTGCACTGCTCATTCTGTGTACAGCCAAAGCTTTGTGGATACTTCTCTTAGGCTTAGAGTTACCCGTAAAGATGTCCAAAGTTAAATTTTCATCAGTAGGAACACAGAGGAGTGACAGCCTGCATTACTTGCTCATCTACTTCTTATTGTTTTGAGTTTGTCCAATAGAGGTCGGCACTGTGTAATGTTTTATAAATTCATCCTGGCTGAGATGCTCTTCCGTGGAAGGATGGCAGCCTCTGCCAGGACAGCACATCCCTTGGTTCATCAACACTGTCTCCTTGTACCATTCTCCACCATTGCACAAAACTTCCATGTGAACCCACCCATGAAAGTGACTCAGTTCCCCCTGCCCTTTCAAAGCAAGAAAAACTTACACAAAGGGAAGCTTTATACTACTGTCTGCATTATTACTCAACAGGTCCCTGTTACTAAAGGACTGTTTGAAAGTTTTGCAGGGGCTGAATATACAGCCCTGATGGAGCACACCTGAGCTCAATCAGAACAAAGGAAATATAAATATTAAAATTGGATCATTAAAAAAGATCCAGACTCCTTTGGGGAAAAATATTTTATCTGACAAAATTATTACACCATTTATTATTGAATTCAAATATCCATGTCCTCCATTTTATTTTCAAGTTTAATCAACAGGCATTGAATTCAGATGTGACATGGTCTCCTAGAGAGAAAATTACACTTAACTAAAAATCGGATTCCATTAGCACAGAAACACATGAGCCTTTGACAAACATGTTCCTGCACATTGACTCTGTACTTTTGAGCATACAGCTTCATGATCTATAAGAAATTGAGAGCCACTCCATAGAGGGACAGAGAAAATCCACCTTTTAGGTACACACACAGCCTCAAGTGTGTACCAAAGCTGCTGGGTCCTCCCTGGGGAAGCAAGGGCTGTGTGTTGTGCATGCGAGTGACAGTGTCAGTTATATTTATATACTTGTACAGATGCAACCTTTGATTATACATATATTTGATAAAACAAAAAGACGAATTTGTTGTACACATTCCATTTTTTTATAGCATGAGAATAGGACAGTCAACTGTTTATTCTGCAATCACTGGCATTGATAATTCAGAATTCCCATGGTGTGCATAAGGACAATTAACCTGGGCTCTTCTCTGTGGCTCACGGCAGCCCCACTGGAAGTCCTATGTCTTTGGCTTTGATTTATATTACCATATGCAACAATCACAGGCTCTTCATCCTCTCATGTGCATTTTGCGAAGTTTCCAACCAAACAGAAAGGATGAGGGCAGACGCTCCAAGTGAGCTAAGATGAGGACCACAAGGAAGACCGCTGCTGCACCGTATGTGGCCAGCACCCTGTCCTCAAATGGGAGGTAGCACTTGGAGAGAGCATAGTCCTTGGATGTCAGACTGCCCTGGGGAAGAAAGAGAAGGTTTATGCTTCAGGGTGAGTCCCAGGCACAGCAATCTGACTTAGAGGCTGTTTTGTAGGTTCCCTGAGGAGGGTCCAGGAGGGAAGAGCCCTTGTCACCCAGGACCAAGGGGCTTCAAGCATAGCAAGTCACCACCGGCCAGAAGTACTGGCAAAAGATGCCAAAGCTCTGCTGGCCCAGGGAGAAGGTCTGGCATGCTGACCCCTCCAATAAAATGTATCCCTCATATAGTAGGGCAGCCCTGGAGGGAGATCAAGAGGCAAGAGTCCCAGAAGAACAAGAGGACAAGAGTTTCCCTGCCATTTAATAGCAGAGCAGTCACTCTGTCGCCCGGAAGTGCCCCTGCATCTCCATATTTTCATTTGTAAGCAGTTTTCGATGTGGAAATCAAGGTAGCAAATGTTTTCACTTACATGAACTTGAAAACACACAGAGTCCCCACCTTTTTATAGATAGAACTATAGAACAGCAGCATGAGACTGGGTGCAAGAACCCACAGTTACAAAGAAGGGTTTCACTGAGTCACCACCTTTCGTCA